TGGGGCGACTTTCGCCTTAGCCGCCACTTATCGCACCCTAATCGTTCCGTCGCGATATCGTATACGCCAATACGCCGCGGATGCGTACGCACGTTCGCTCGCATTATTGAAGACGTGAAGTTGACGCTCTATAACTCCCCCCGTAGGAGCATAGCACCTTGGCAGTCGTAGTCGTGATACCTCCTCGACGACTCGCAGCCATCTCTGGAATTCCTCCGCTGCCTCCTCGGGTAGTTCGTCGTCCCATCTTCGCGCTGCCATCTCGTAGCTGGGTGGCATCCGCACGTTGTCGTCCTTCCATGGCAGTCCCACTTGGTATTGCTCGCCGACCTTCTTGACGGTGCGCTGGAATATGTCGACAGCGCGCTCCTCGTCCCGTCGCGGCCTACTCTTCAGCGAGATACCTATAGAGTCTATCTCGTACTGCCGTTTGAGGAGTTCCGTTAGCTCCTCGTCCCGACTGGCAAACGTTCGGATGTCCCTATCTGACCGTCCGCTAGCGCTCTCTACGTGTAAAACGGTCTCGCTGTCTTCCCTACACGTTAACCGCGGCACGGTTCCCTGAATTACCCATCCTAATAACGTTCGTGCAGCTATAGGCTGCCTTCGACGTCCTATCCTTAAAGCACGGGTAATTATCAAATGCCAATTGTCGGCGCCTAATAGCAGTCTTGGCTTCGCGTCGTCGTAACACACCGAACTCGGTAAGTCATGTAAGTGCTTCAATCGTAAGCACTCCCTACTCACGGACTGCGAGCCTATCTTCAAGTCTGTTATTGTTCGCGCGTTTATGTTAAACATCTCGCTGCGCGTCTTGCCACGTATCCCTATATTGACTAATCTACTATTAGCCTCGCGTTGACTGTTCCCTACGCCTTTAATGTTGAGCGGCTTTATCGGTCCTTCCGCTCCTAACTCGCGAGCTAAGTCGTCGTCGATTAGCGATATCGTAGAGCCTTCGTCAAGTAGCGCGTACGTGTTTACTTCCTTTCCGCGTGGTCCGCGCACGGTTATCGGACACACTTTTAACAATACGGACGCACTATTGCTAACACTCGACGCGACGAGAACGGTTTCGTCCGGTTTAACCGACGCTGCAGGCGTACGGGCCTTGCGGGTGTGAAGAAGAGCGTGGTGGGGGGCGTTACAACCGTCGACGCCGCACTTCCTGGCTTTGCAGCGTATACGTCGGTGCTTGCTGCTCAAGCACTTGAAACATACCCCATCTTCCCTAACCCACTTCCACCGGTCGTCCGAGCCCATTTGCTCTAACTTCTTATACTTGACGATAGGGTGTTCACCCCCGCAACACATACAAGAGGCACTACCGGTGTCCTCCTGGGCGGTGAACGTCTTTACGTCGCGGGCCCTATCTTCTACGCGGCGTGTTACTATTCTTTTCGACGGCGGCGTCTCTCGTCTTACGGGCGATTCCTTATTCGACGCTACGGACGTATAGGCATGACTTAACGCACGGTCAGCCTCTCTCATCATGAACCGGGATAACGTAACGATGTCCGGTTCGTCCGCACTTCCGTAGTGCTCCGCATAATCGCACCAACGCGACCGTAAGTGAGGGCTAAGTTTGCTAGTAACCTCCCTAGTCAGCATTGGATTACGCAAATAACCCTTGCCGTCGACGTTTTGCATAATGCACACTATATTTTGTAACTTAATTGCAAACGAGTTTAATTCCTGGGCGGTTTGACCCGGGCGCGGAAGGCGTTTCAATTCTTCTAACGCACGATCTATAATTACTTCCGGGCGTCCGAAACACTGCTCCAGTGTCCGCATAATGTCTGCCGGATCCTTAGCGGTAAACAGCAGAGCCGATACTACCTCTCTAGCCTCACCGCGTAAACAGTTCCTTAATCTTGCCATATTTTCCGTATTTGTGAATCCATATAAACGCGTGGATTCATTCATCGCGGCTTTAAATGCTAACCATTCCGCGGCCGAGCCGTAAAAAATAGGCAAGTCCTGCGTCTGTTTCGCGGCGGCTGGTCTAACTCTAACCATGTTTTCTAGAGCTTCCGCTAGCCGTTCTATACCCCTATCCTTCCCTCGCGGGGTGAGCGACCTATCTCTATCCCTATTTCCTTCTAGCCTACGCTGTGGCGCCGGCGACCTATGTACACCTACATCCCTATGACGCGGCGACGGTAATCTACGATCCGCAAGGCGATGTGGCGATTTATCTCTGCCTACATCATTACACGGCGACGGTGATCTACGATCCGCGTGGTGATGTGGCGATGGCGATCTATGTATACCTACATCCCTATGACACGGCGACGGTAATCTACGATCCGTAAGGCGATGTGGCGATCTATGTGTAGGCGATAGAGTGCGGCGTTGGACGCGCGACGGCGACGTAGCTCGTACACGACGATCCACCTGGTTCATTTCTACGGCGACTCCATTATCCCTCTGTATCCTATTTACGCGGCGCGGTTGAACGTCATTCGCGACCGACTTCCCCTGGGCATCTCCAGCGTGGTCGTAACCGGTTCCCCTCCTCGGTGGGGCATGCTCTATCTCGATGCGGGGCGCGGGCTGAGGCGGGCGGTAGGGCGGCTCCCCCCGCACAGTCTCTACGTTTTCTAACCACCTATCAACGCGTACCCTATTTTCGACTAATTCGTCCTCGTTTAGGCTTTCCCTATCGGTTTCTTCTTGCAGTTGCGCGATATCCCTAGCATATTTCTTCTTGACGAGATCTTCCTCTATTTGCAATTGCTTCCTCCTAATTGCAGCTAGTTCCTCCGCGGCATTATATTCGATTTGTTTTAATCTTGCTACTGCGCTAGCTGTCGACCGGGCTGAACGGACTGAACGGACCGACGGGGCGCGGGACGCGGGCCTATGTACAACGTCTGATACAGGCGCGACGGTACGCACTATCGAACTAGTTTCCGTAGTCGGAAGATCTTCTATTATCGCGGCGAGCGTTTCTGTGCGCGGCGCGGATGTGCTAACTTCTCCCAAGCGATCGGTTGTAGACACGGACATAGCGGGGCGCGGCGGCGCGGGTGCGGGCGCGGGCATAGATGCGGGCGCGAGCGGGGGCTGCGGCGCGGCGGGGGGCGCTTGTGCCAATGCGAGATAATCGGACGGGGACGCGGGTGCTTCCTCGAATATCCGCATTCCTACTGGCGTTTCGTCGTCGTTCCGTGTCTTCTGGCTTCTTGTCTTCCGCATGATGGTGTCCCTCGTTGCGACCTCCGATCGTCTTCAAAAAGACGCACGTATTGGACGCCGTTCCCGCCTCAAGGGCGTTACCGGATGGTCACAGTTTGGCACCGTTAGGGAGCAACCACCCGGCCGCGTAAACGCGGTTAAGAAACAGGAATTGTCTGGAAACAGACAATATATATGACGTCGATGTAAATAAGAAACGAGGAAGGAGTTAGTACCGATGATCTTCTCTCTTCGTCGACGTACTTCTTTCTTCCTCGAAGATCTTCTGTAATGATCTTCTCTCTTCTGTAATTATGTTCTCTCTTCTATAATTATGTTCTTTCTTCAATAATTATGTTCTTTCTTCAATAATTATGTTCTTTCTTCAATAATTATGTTCTTTCTTCAATAATTATGTTCTTTCTTCTTTCTTCTGGCTTGAATCCGGCGACGATGGACCAAGAACTTGTTATGAATCGCAGTGGACTGTATTATTGAGGGGGGGGGGGGGGGGTACGCTAGGGGGCAACTGCTCAAAGAAAAGATGGTACTGTCGAACTATACTGTATTCTAACTATTTACAAAATGTGGCACTATTAATCAAACTATTATACAGAGGGGAGTCTTCTTGATGGAGTCTTCTTGAGTCTTGATTTTCTTGATTTTCTTGCTGTCTTCTTCTCGTTGAGTGCCGCTTCCGAAATGAACAGCGCACCGTCCGAGACGCCCTTCTTATATCTCGCCGGAGAGCGTCTCGGGTCGTGCGTAGCGCCGTCCGCGATGCCGCGCGCTCATTGGTCGGCGACATCGCGTGATCTGCTGCCGGTGTGCGGGGTGCGCGGGGCGCACCGGGGTGTGAAGGGGCGAAGGGGCGGTGGCCTCCTCGCTGTCCGCTACAATAATTATGAGGCGTCACAATATCAATGATATGTTGCTAACTGGTAACATTCATTGCTATGCGGATGACAGCACTGGTGATGCTCTATACACCGGCCGTGCAAATATTTCTCGGGAAAACGTCGCCGAGTACCGGAAAAAACTTGTGTCTGAAGTCGAGTCTTTGCTGGACAATGTCTAGGATTGGGGGCGACTAAATCTAGTCCAGTTTAATCCTCAGAAGACACAAGTTTGCGCGTTTACCGCTAAAAAGAACCCCTTTGTCGTATCTCCTCAGTTTCAAGGCACTCCCCTTCTTGCCTCAGCCAATATCGGAATCCTCGGAGTCGACATATCGAGTGACGTGCAGTTTCGTGGTCACTGCGAAGAGATGTTGCATCCCTTTGCAATATCTTTCGCATCTACCACGGGGAGTGCTCTGAGGAATTGTTCGGATTAATGCCAGCCGCCAAATTTCACGAACGAACATCGCGGCAGAACTCCCGATACCATCCACACCATCTGGATGATTGGCGGTCCACCACTGTGCGATTTAGAAGATGTTTTCTTCCTCGCACGACTTCTTTGTGGAATCGATTACCATCAGCGATTTTTCCGGACCGATACGACTCAGGGACCTTCAAGAAAAGAGCGTACTCCTTTTTAAAAGGCCGGCAACGCATCTGCGATTCCCTCCCTGCTGTAGCAGCTGTTCATGGGCGGCGGTAGTCACTTACCATCAGGTGAGCCGCATGCTCGTTTGCCCCCTCTTCTATAAAAAAAAAACATAAACAGAAAAACAATAATTGCTTACATAATTAAATAGAATAGGAATGATTGATGAATAAATGAATTGAGGAATTAGTCTTCTAAAATGTTATAAGCAGTATAGCAGTATGTATGTATACATTTGCTAAGAAACTAAAGAATAAAAATGTACTCACAATCCCATCTGAATCATATATATTATGATCCCTCAACACCTCTGCAGGATTCAACAAATCTTTGATTTTTATTACTCCATCGTAAGGAGTTGCAGGTCTTACCCCACCACCTGTTTTAGTCAATTCTTTTTTGTAGGTGCTGTATTTCTTCAGAGCATTTACCTTCATAGTTTTCCACTGTATTTTTAGCTGATTTAATTGTCGATGTTGGCTATTTAACTCATTAAACTTGTAAGTACAGAAGATGAACCGAAAACAACACGAGGAACAACACGTAACGCGTATTTTTCAACCATTTTCAACTCTTAAGGACGCGTTTACAAAATTGATAGGTATAGAATCGAACTATTACATTGACACTGGTCACACACACAAGTATACGCACGGTTAGCTGCGGGAATCGCAATCAATTATAAACATTTTGATAATTTGAAAGATTGTTTTTTTTTTTCATTTCTTATTACCTACAAAAATATACTTAGATACGAAATATAAATGGCTGCTCCAGAGACAGCTAGGTACTAGACAGGTAGGTAGAAGCCATCTACAGGGAGTGAGATGTTGGCTGTGGACTTTGAGCCGGTTTTGTTAGTTATGATAACTTCAGCTCCGAACTTGGTGAAGTGACTTGAAGGTATACTTGGGTGACTGCTACTGGAAGTCCGGGACGAGTAGTACCATGTGTGCCGAATTTGGGCTCATTATGTTAGTTATGATGAGACCTTACCTCCGGACTTGACAGAATGACCTGATGGTGTACGTTGGTGACTACTACTGCAACTCCTGGACTCCTGGTTTTGTTAGTTATGACGAGATCTTACCTCCGGAATTGATGAGAGACCTGATGGTGTACTTCAGTGACTGCTACTGGAACTCCTGGACGAGTAGAACTACGTGTGCCGTGTTTGAGCTCGTTTTGTTAGTTATAACGAGACCTTACCTCCGGACTTGATGGAGAGACCTGATGGTGTACTTCAGTGACTACTACTGGAACTCCTGGACGAGTAGAACTAGGTATGCCAAGTTTGGGCTCGTTTTGTTAGTTACGACGAGACCTTACCTCCGGACTTGACGGAATGACCTGATGGTGTACGTTGGTGACTACTACTGCAACTCCTGAACGAGTAGAAGTAGGTGTGCAGAGTTAGGGCTCAATATGTTAGTTATGACGAAACCTTACCTCCGGACTTAATGGAGAGACCTGATGGTGTACGTTGGTGACTACTACTGCAACTCCTGGATGAGTAAAACTAGGTATGCGTAGTTTGGGCTCGTTTTGTTAGTTACGATGAGACCTTACCTCCGGACTTGAAGGAATGACCTGAAGGTGTACTTCGGTAACTGCTAGTGGAACTCCTGGACGAGTAGAACTAGGTATGCCAAGTTTGGGCTCGTTTTGTTAGTTACGATGAAACCTTACCTCCGGACTTGACAGAATGACCTGATGATGTACGTTGGTGACTACTACTGCAACTCCTGAACGAGTAAAACTAGGTATGCGTAGTTTGGGCTCGTTTTGTTAGTTACGATGAGACCTTACCTCCGGACTTGAAGGAATGACCTGAAGGTGTACTTCGGTAACTGCTAGTGGAACTCCTGGACGAGTATAACTAGGTATGCCAAGTTTGGGCTCGTTTTGTTAGTTACGATGAAACCTTACCTCCGGATTTGACAGAATGACCTGATGGTGTACGTTGGTGACTACTACTGCAACTCCTGAACGAGTAAAACTAGGTATGCGTAGTTTGGGCTCGTTTTGTTAGTTACGATGAGACCTTACCTCCGGACTTGACAGAATGACCTGATGGTGTACGTTGGTGACTACTACTGCAACTCCTGAACGAGTAAAACTAGGTATGCGTAGTTTAGGCTCGTTTTGTTAGTTACGATGAGACCTTACCTCCGGACTTGAAGGAATGACCTGAAGGTGTACTTCGGTAACTGCTAGTGGAACTCCTGGACGAGTAGAACTAGGTATGCCAAGTTTGGGCTCGTTTTGTTAGTTACGATGAAACCTTACCTCCGGACTTGATGGAGAGACCTGATGATGTAATTTAGTGACTACTAGTGGAACTCCTAGACGAGTAGAACTAGGTATGCCAAGTTTGGGCTCGTTTTGTTAGTTACGACGAGACCTTACCTCCGGACTTGATAGAATGACCTGATGGTGTACGTTGGTGGCTACTACTGCAACTCCTGGACGAGTAGAACTAGGTGTGCCGAGTTTGTTAGTTATGATGCGCAGTTGCCCTTGAATTTGGTAATTCCATTTATATTTTCTCCGACGTGCCTAAACTCGGCACACCTAGTTCTTCTCTTCCAGGAGTTACGAAGTACACCATCAGGTATCTCATCAAGTTCGGAGGTAAGGTATCGTCATAACTAGCAAAACGAGCTCAAACTCAGCACACCTAGTTCTACTCGTCCAGGAGTTCCAGTAGTAGTAACTAAAGTACACCATCAAGTCTCTCCATCAATTCCGGAGGTAAGGTCCCATCATAACTGACAAAAAGAGCCCAAACTTGGCACACCTAGTTCTACTCGTCCAGGAGTTCCAGTAGTAGTCACTGAAGTACACCATCAGGTCTCTCCATCAATTCCGGAGGTAAGGTCCCATCATAACTAACAAAACGAGCCCAAACACGGCACACCTAGTTCTACTCGTCCAGGAGTTGCAGTAGTAGTCACCAACGTACACCATCATGTCATTCTGTCAAGTCCGGAGGTAAGGTCTCGTCGTAACTAACAAAACCAGCCCAAACTTGGCATACCTAGTTCTACTCGTCCAGGAGTTCCACTAGCAGTTACCGAAGTACACCTTCAGGTCATTCCTTCAAGTCCGGAGGTAAGGTCTCGTCATAACTAACATAATGAGCCCAAACTCGGCACACCTAGTTCAACTCGTCGAGGAGTTCTAGTAGCATTCACCGTATACTTTCAGATCACTCCATAAAGTCCAAGACGAATAGGATTTATATATATTTATATATTATAAATCCCACTTGCTTTTAGCGAAACAAAACATTATAATAAGAATTTGTGATTATAAAAATATTTATATTATGTACGTATTATTTTACTTTGTCAGGTCATGTACCTATGTATCAAATTCGAATATTTTGTGTTTGTACAGCGATCTTTTTCAGCTGCTGCGGCGATACAGCGACCACTCGCGATAGCGGCCGAGCGCCGACTGTGGTTTCATCAAAATTTTTGTACAACAAATCAAAACAGACACTAAAAATAAAATAACCCTTATTGCAATCCATTAGGATTCATCCGTATCAGCAAAATATGTCAAAAAATAAGCATCAGTTTTTATTTTTTTTACGACTATTTGTGACATTTTGATAAAAAGTAATCACCAGCATTTTTTATTGAATATGTCTGCCTACTTACAGTATTTTTAGAAATCTTAATATATGTTGATAATAGAACAAAAAATGTACCGAAATATGAGCCGGTATCGTTAATTTTGTAGTAAATGGCTAGGGAAGATCCTTTTTACAATGTAAAAAACTATTATTTTCAATAAAAAAGTTACCACCATTTAAAGATAAAGAACCATTCTATACGTTGTAGTTATTAGTTATATTTGATTTGGTTTAGTTTTGTCACAAAATGTACCGAAAAACAGCATAATTTGGCCCGATTTGCAAACGCACCCTTAAGTAGTCAAACTCAAAATATTGCCTGTCACTGTCATTAATGTCATCATCAAGCATTAAGTTCATTCACCAATCATTCACTGACTCACTCATTTTACTTAATCACAGAGTACTTTTGTATATGGGAAATACTTAATCTCGGCGTAAGGAATGTATTGTTAGTACGAGGTTACTCCATGTTTATTAATAACATTGTAATAAAGAAGTTAACACTCAGTTACTCCAAGATTAACTAGTCCAAGTGTAACTGCGAATTAAGCTTGGAATAAGCAATTTTTATTAATAAAGCTGTTTATGTTTTGATATTAATACCAGCCAGATAAAAACAGTACAACTAAAGATATTTTTCTTCAATTTTATAGAAACAAAATATGAAGAAACTTTTTCCCCGACCTATTATAATTTCACTTAATGAGAGTTTTCACAATCAACTAATTTTATTACCGTTTCAGCCTATTAAAGTCCACTGCTGCACATGGGCCACCCACATAGATTTGTATGACAATGGAATTTTAATATGCACCAAGCAACTAATTTATGACAAATTTACAAAAGCAATTTGTCGGAATTTCACATCATTTTACATTGCCTTGAATAATAATAAATGAGAAAATTATGAACTAACCGTATATAATTAATAACTCGTTTATTACGGTCTACGTCATCTTTTAATGTTTAACTACAATAAAATGTTATCTTATAAAAATGTAGTGACAGAGATGGGAAAATTAAACCATTGTGAACTGAAAATTTACAATTTTTTACATCATCAAAATACGATAAAAAAACAACAAATTGGTCTATATAAATGCGCGGCTACAGAAAAAAATACCATTTTTGTGTTTTGTAGTTACCTTCAAGAACACTTTAGTAAACAGTAAGTTGTATTATTGTTTCATTTTGTCCATGTATTTTACTTAATATTATTTAATATTATTATTATTTATTATTAAATAATTATTTATCTAAATTGGTAATTATTAAAATTAATTAAAGGTAATTCTAAAATGAAATAAAATTGTTACTTATGTCGAAACTTTGGGTTTTTTACCAATTATTTATATATGAGGTATTTTTTACAAAGCTAAAGAAAAAGTGCCAACTATGTTACGAGTAGTTGTTAGCAAGAGCGACTAATGGGATATAATTAGGTTTGTGATTGTGTAGGCCGTAAACCGTCTAGTTGCGTTGTAAGACTATCCACTACCCCATATCGTCGCGGGGTGACGTAAGAGGTGACTTATGGGAACTGGAACAGGAGATGGGCAGCAGCATCTATTTGATTAAAACTCAAAATAATTAAACCTGCGGATGGCAATCCACCTGCAGAACGTGGCAACTATGCCATTACATACTTACTATGCAATCTATAGGGGATGATTATCTCCAGCAGTAAACTTTTTATACGCTGTAATGTTTGGATAGATTTATATATAAAGGTAGCTGATCGATAGCTGAAGATCTGCCAACTTCAATTTTATAAAACCGCTTTTTCATTCCATTTACATATAAATTTCCATTCTATTGGTTTTTCTTGAATTTTTACTGCTAGCTAAATGAAGCTCTGGTTCGGGAAATTTTCTGTGCTGCATTTTTTTTGCGATCCCTAAAAACAATATTTTGCAATAATTGAATATTTGGTGGAGTAGTCATTGTTATAAAGCCTCCCTTCCTCAATATAAGTCATGATTTTAAGATTACCTTCCCCAACGAAACAGCTTAAACCAATTTCTGTTATTTGATACGATGGGATAAAGTCAACAAAAACGGCAGTCATTCTTTCTTTTATTTGCGATGGCGATAGGTTTTCTTACCTTACTACACCACGATATTCAAATTTAGAAATTATTTAAAAATTGTTACAATTTAGTGTATAAAACACTCTAAAAATAAAGTGATAAACCGAATAATTTGAAACTACATAGTATGGGCCTAGCATCTGTTTTCTAAAGAATAAAAATAGGATAAACAAGAAAACATATATTTGAATAATGAACCTCCTCCTCTTTTTTTAAGTCTATTAAAAAGTAAAATTACTTTATGAACCGGTGTAAAGCAGTACTGCTTGGCTATTGGCAACACACAAGCGAGGTAAGAGGGTGGTACCAACTCAAATGGACGGGTATATTTACACAAATTAACAAATAAAATTTATGTATAAAGTGTATTTTAAGTTCATAATTATTTAGTTTTATAATTAAATTATCCATTAATTTACTTAACTTTCTTTGGTTTTAGAATTTCTGCCAACATGATTTCTATAGTTTTTACCTTCATTATTTGTGGACTTTATTTGTTGAAAGTATATTCAAGGTCTAGTCATGAACCACCGCTTCTACCTAGTTGTCTACCTATATTAGGACATGCACATATATTAATTGAAGGAAGTTCACGTAAGTAATTTTCAATTTTAATAGATTTTTTAATGTAATAAATATGTATATGTATATGCCGAAGTACGGTTACAACAAGGTTTAGCTGGCTACAAGTGAAGCCGATTACGATAATTTAAATTTATGTCTATTCCATTGGTTCATGGCTAACACTAGTTACGGCTTGTTTTCAAATAAACTTAATAAAGCCAAATATCAGCGACAGTGGATAAATAACTATGAGTTTTGATGAATTTTACAACAATACAAAAGCACATTTATTTATAGAAGAAGGGTTTCGGACGAGCACACAGTCCTCGTCGTGGCAAGTGAATGCTGTAGCTCATGGACATTCTCCTGTTCCTTCGATTGAGAATCAAAATGCAGATCTTAAATTATCCTGAGGGCAAAGATGGAATGCTCTTTTCTAGTCAATAGGGTATTCGGTTTTCTACACTTACCTACTATAAGAAATACGTCGTAATGTCGACCCATTTATCCTGCAATCAGGTAATAATAGCTACAGTAGGGCAAGGAGCGACTGTCTGCGTCAGTACGAATGTCTGCGGCTTTGGAGTGATCCAATAAAAGGCAGCAGATATTTTTAATAAGTAGCCGATATTATTAAATAGAATTTGGCCTTCGGGATGATTTACTGCAATAGCAACGTTTCGCAAAATGATAACTGAGTAACTAAGCTGTTATACTAAATTCTGTGTACACAAAATTGTGAATAAAATAGAAGCTTATTAGTTGAATGTATTCGGTGTCAATCGGCATTGCAATAATTCTACCAACTTCTTATCTAATAAGTTTATGTATCGTAAAATCGTATATTATATATCGAAAACAAAAATCCGATGTAAGTAATCGAATAAAAGTGCATTGTAAGATCTTTATTTCTAGGCATAATATAATCCGTTATCGCGCAAGTCTGTTACAGTTTTTAAAGTCATTAATTTTTCAAAAGAGATGACAATATTTGTAGTTAAGTCTACTAGAAATCTTATTTATGGAGTAAAAAGGCGAAAAGACTGGAATTAGGGGCATGACTGGTATTAGGGGCTTCCACCCTAATTCGGTAAAAAGTATCTAAGAAGGTATTAATATACCTACTTTTTACTATAAACTAAAATTTTTTAAAACTAAATTTAACTAAAAAAAAACTAAACTGACCATTTATTTTTTAACTCAAAACAGGACATGGGTTTATTTATACTCTAAAAACTATAACTTTATACAATTATTGTTCAATATAAAATTATATTCGGTATAGACGGTAATTATTAAATGCAACATATTTTTTTAATTATTAATTACATTTTTCAGTGGATTAAATTTGCTTTAATAAAGTTGGTGATGATTTTAAATAAGAATAAAATTCTGCTCAAGTTTTTTATTGTTACCTTGTTAACAACATCGCCTTTAAAACTGGAACCGTAAGTGTTTCTTTCAGACGTCCACAATTTCTTCAAAATAAAAAAATACTCTTTCTACTGGAGCATTTGTACCAGGGAGACATAAAATATAGTCGATTAAAAAAAATTATGTTGAAGATTGTTGACTTTGAATACTTCCATCCAACGAGTTACGGGACAATTTTGTGTCCCGGAGCTTTGTTTGGGGACAATGGGACAGGTGACCGAGAAAAGGGACAGTCCCGTTCAAAACGGGACGTATGATCACTTTAGCTATAACCCGGCGACGGCTCCGTGGCGCAGTGGCTTAGCAATCAGTTGTTGCGCTGGGGGCCGCCGGTTCGAATCCCGCACGGAACAAGTATTTGTATGGCCTACAAATAATTGTTCCGGGTCTGGATGTTTGTCCTTGTGCAATTTATGTTTGTAAACTGCCTCCACGACACAGGAGAAAATCCTAGTGTGGGGGTAACGTTTTTTTACAATTGAAATTGAAAGATTGAACCCTTATACTTCTTGTTGATTTTTGTATTACCTTTATTAAAGTTACCCTTATGTATAAATAAATATAATTACGTATGTAGAAATAAAATTGATTTTCATCCTCATCAATCATTGGGGTGAGGATAATGTCTGCCAGCATAAGTAATAAGCAGGCTAAGTTACAAGGTGCTCATTTCAAAAATTAGTAGGCAGGTATGTTACTTTTCAATACGTGACACGTAAAAATTAACAATAATCAAAAACACATCTGCGAAACATCCTATTTAATTATTTATTTTTTATTGCACCAAATATTTGTACAAAAGCCGAGCTATCTATTTATTTACCTATAGTGAGTAGGTATTTTTTAAACTCACAATTTGCAATGCTTCCTTTCTAATATATAATTAATTATAAAATTTTATAATTAGATAATAGGTATATGAAAATACATAATTCTAATAAAATGCAACTAATATGTACCGAATAAAAAAATTAAAATACATTTATCTTTGTACGCTGTGTGTATTTCCATAAAATAGTTTATTGATGTTGAAAAAATAATACTACGTTCGTACAATAGGTGGCGTCTTACATATTTCTTACGCAATAATATATTGTAGCGAACGGCGCGCCGGTCAAATGCTCAAGGTCGTACGCATGGAGTAGCCCCTTAAGACATAATATTCGTATATGCTCTCTGTAATTTTCAGTCAGTTGAACGTCATGGTCAGTTAAACTGTTCAGTTTAACTCACCGTGAGTGGCCATCATTATAGTGACCATATCAATATCAAAAATCTTTTAAGTTTTAAATAAATAAATTGACTTGGCCATCGCATGAAAACACAATGTATCTGTCAAGTTATACATATTATATTAAATTAGATTGTATAGTGCGATCGCCAAGTCAATTTATTTATTTAAAACTTAAAAGAATTTTGATATTGATATGGTCACTATAAGATTTTGTTAGGTTAGCTAATTACGTAATAATTTAAGATAGAAGGAACCTTAAGTAGGGAATGAATAAATTAACCGACTTGGTATTACATGAATCTCAAAACTTTTTTACGGTAGAAGAAATGAGTTGCGAGACTTGGTTTTTTTACAAGTTATGTTTTTGATGGCATCTCTTTTCTTTTTGTAGATAGATATATCTAGGTACCTATCTACACCTATTATTCAATTATATTATACATATATAGGGTCACTGATTCACTCACTGCAAATGTAACTTTGTAATCCTATATATTTATATGGGATTACAAAGTTATATATGCAGTTGAAGTATCTCGAAAACTGGACCGAAATTGCAAAATATTTGAATTTTTCCTTAATTTATATACTAAACACTAATTGTGATCTAAATTTAAAGCTTCTACGTCTGCTAGAAGTGCCTTAGAGTTTTGATGATCGGTCAGTCAGTGAGTGACAAAATAAAGAAACTATGACTAGTTATAATTCTTAAACTACTGGTTCAAATTTAATGAAATTTGAAATATACTGAGTTAATACAATGCCTACTTGGTTATTGAAAATTTAGGCTTATAATTTTATCCACAGTGAAGTTATGGGGTTTGAAGTTTAGGTTTTGTTAAAATGGCCTGAACTGCTTCGAGAAAAGGATGGTACGGCCGTGCCGCTTTTTTGCTCGACTTGGCGGGGGCACTGTCGTGCCCCCAGATCCGGTTCTCGACACTCACCATACAAAACACAGCAGCATATAACTGGTATTTTACGCTGGTGTTCTGTGAGAGCGTGGTCTTACCCAGTAACGCTGACCCTTTCGTGCTACAAACATAGTAAAAATATAAAATAACTGCAGCATGTTTCTACCACGTGTTAAATGTATATGTGACAAAAATATTTAAAAAGGGAATTTGTAATTTAACAAATATAATTTCTGTATAAAAGTATCTCGATACGACCCTGATAACACTTGTTTTCTTGTTTCGCGATAATAATTTTTGGTTCGTGAAAAACCTTTTATAAACAGCATCGAAACAAAGCGAACCAATTTCGGAAGCCTGAAGTTTTATAATACTTATATTTCCTTTTTAGGATTATGGAAAGCTGTAATTACCTTAATACATGAATGCCACAAAGCAGGAGACGTTACAACACTCTTATTGGGTCCCATTAAATGTTATGGTAAGCATATTTCTTGAGGGAAAAAATCGATTACGGTATTAATAAAGCCCAACTTTTACATATTTTACTAATTTTTCAGGCATTAAGTCGTTTGAAAACATATTATGAAAAATAACGATTAAAATTTGTTTTCAATTTAATATTATTTGTTGCCTTATCTTTTTTTGCCAATGAATTAGTGGGTATATAATTAATATGTGTGCTCCTAGCAGTTTTTGTTATATTTATTGGTTCTTTATGTATTTTTAGACACACCTCTATTAGTAAATAGTAATCTCCTTAGCCCAAAGTTTGTCTGAAAGTGATCGTAAGATAGCGATAAGGCCACCTATTTCTATTGATTACTCTCAAAGTAATATTCACTGTTTGTGATTACTCTCAAAGTTACTTAAATTAAAATATATTTACATAACTCGACGTCGTATAGATTATTGTTACTTTTACCATGAAACACGTAACAATAACCTCGTGGGAAAATGTGAAAATCAGTAATGTTTTACTGTGTTTTTGTTTTTATCGCTGTTACAGCATTAACAGATCCAGATGATTTTATCACTGTTGCAAACTCGTGTTTAGACAAAGGCTTTTTATATGATTTTGCTAAACCATGGCTTGGGGACGGATTATTAACTGCACCGGGTAAGTAAAACTATCAATTTTTATTTTCTGTACTTATAACAAAAAATAAAGTTTTATATTATTATTTATTTGTGACCATATACAGTAACAAAATGGAAAACTCACCGAAAGTTACTAAATACGGCATTTAACCAGCAAGTTTTAGATGGGTTTTTAGATGTGTTCAATAGACAGTCGAAGATTTTACTTAAACAATTATCTGTGGAAGAGGGAAAAGGACTTTTTGATCATAAAAAGTACATAATGCGAAATTCTTTGGAAACGATATACTGTAAGTACCTTTACGTATAATTATTTTTTGTAAGTAAGGATAGAAATCGAGTACATGATATTTGAGACCCGATGAGGAACGGATGTTTTATCTTAAATACAACATTTTATCCTTGATGAAAATCAAAATGCAAATGCGTTCCTAACCTTTTTTAAGTACTTATATGGAATATCTTGTAAGCATTAATAAATAAATATTAAAAACATTTTTAAAAACAAGCATTTATTTAAATTCTCTAAAAAGAAGAAAATCATTTTGTTATATTTTACAATTTTATGTATTATATACGTACAGATCAAGCTACTTAAGCGTGTTGAAAACTTATTTAACCCACAGAGATTTAATAGAGTATCAGACCAAACATTCGTTACAAATTGCATAGCCATTACGCACACATATGTAGTGTTGAATGGCAACTCTGCCTATGTGTGCGTAATGACAACACAGGGCCGAACTAGGACCGGTTGTTAGTATTATTTAACTAAACTAAATCTAAATACTTAACTGAAAATCGATATTATCTGGTTATGAGAAGGGTAGATTACTTATCAATAAAATCTTAACTATTTTTTTAAGATCCTAGTTTGGCCCTGCTCCAGGTTACATTGCAGATGTTGCTTATCAATATATAATAACTGAAAATCGATATTGCGCAGGATGGATAATCTAAGCGTGAAATTTTCTCTATGTATGTGTCAGTGTGACAACAGGTGACAGATCAGATCAGATTAGTTGCTTAGAAAAAAAAGGATATCATAAGTTTCACTGGCCACGGCTAATAAATGAAACGTTACAAATAATCCAAATGCACAGTTAAATAGATAACTTAAATAGTAACAGTATAGGCCCTATTGACAAGTAAGTACATAACCAGCGTCACGCGAAAACGCAGCGCGAGCGCGCGAGAAATCAATAATACACATATACCTCGGAGCTAGTCGGTTAGCGTACTGCTTGTATCGGCAGTCAAAGGTTTGGCGGAGTAGCGTGATCCCGTGGCGGAGGTGAGTATCGTACGGAAAGGAATAGCGAGACATCGGGTGACATAGGTAAGTATCGGCGCACTACATACTCCCCCTTTTGACCAAGAGGGAAGATCACGAATGGTCAACCTAGTAGTTAGCGCCTAGCAGCGATCCTTACGACGACGACCCCTACGACGCTTAGGAGCAACTAACTCCGGACATTCTTCACCACCCCTGTCATGGTATTTACGCAGATCCGACACATGATATTTACCAACGACTTCACCAGTCTTCTACGGAGTTAGAAGGTATGTAGTAGTGTAAGACTCACCTTTTTGGAGATCACATACGGACCATCCTGCTTCGGGATGAATTCGGAAGTTACACCGTTAGCACAATTACTCAGGACGTGTGACTTCATGAGTACGAGATCACCTTGTCCTAATGGATCCGAATCACGGCGATTGAAATCAGCTTGGAGCTTCCAAAGATCCTGTTGATTTTCAATATTCTCCTTAGCTTCCGAGAAAAAGTCAGCGAGCTTCAAATGGTAAGGCGTAATCTGAGGGACTAAGTTTTCAGACTCGATGACCGCCTGTAGATCAGCCTGAACCAACAAAGGAAAACGGAACACACGTCCAAATATCAAGAAAGCCGGAGTGGTGCCTGTAGAGCTTTTAAGAGCAAATCGGATGAAAGATAATACTTCAGACCATTGCTTATGGTTCCCTCAATAAGAATGACGAGGTGAGCTTTCAGATCACGATTCTTTCGTTCTACAGGATTGACTTTCGGGTGATACAAAGGCACCAGGTTTTGTTTCACACCTAGGACAAACAGGGCCTTCTGCATAACATCAGCCACAAACTGGACACTGTTATCGGCGATCATCCGCCTAGGAAGTCCATACCTTATAAAGATTTCACTAACAAGAGTTCTCGCACAGGTTTCGGCTGTGATCTCGGTTAGAGCAAACAGTTCACCCCACTTAATAGCAGTATCCTCCACTATCAAAACCCACCTTTTTTCCTGAGGTCCTTTGAGTAACGGCCCAAAACGGCCGGATTCTGGAGTAAGCCATGCGGTTTCAAGTTGGAGTACTTATACCGATGACACTCAGTGCAGGTTTTCAGGTAATCGGTGATATAGCGTCTCATACCAGGGAAACAGAACTGCTGGGATATACGATGCAAAGCCCGTTGAATACCTCCATGAGCGGCCGTTAGCGAGTCATGACACTCAAACATAACTTTGCCCCGCAAAATCTCAGGTACTACCAGCTGAGGCCCCTCAGTATCGGTGTCGTCCACGTACCGTTACAAAATACCTTGGTTTACTAGGTACCCCCTCTCATACCACCGATGAACTGACAGCTCATAAGGACTTTCCAACTCCTTAAGGATTTTGGCTACTTCTGGATCAGCCAGCTGGGCTAACCCGTGAAGGGTTGATGTAGCATCCCAACGTGGAACATACACAGACACGGGGCAGATACCACATTCCGTCAAAGTGCCGTCGATGACTGGACGGCTGAGTGTATCGGCTAGCACATTAGCATTCCCAGGAGTGTATTCCATTTGAAGAACAAAGGATTGTAGCTTGAAAGCCCAACGAACAAGCCTACCACTAGGCGATTTGAAGGAAAACAGCCACTTCAGGGGTTGATGATCACTTCTGACCACTACCTGGTGAAAATCATTATACCCAAGGAATCTTTCCACGGCCCAAACAATAGCTAACGGCTTCCGCTCTGTAGTGGTATAATATTTCCCGGCTGACGTGAGGAGACGGCTCGCGTACTCGATTGTGTGTTCATTCTGTGGAGACATGCCCTGGAGTAAAGCTGCGCCTAGAGCAAAATCGCTGGCATCCGTCCTAAGGATAAATGGCTCCGATTAGTCTGACTGAACAAGAATGGGTGGTGAAGCCAGAAGGAATTTAAGATGTACGAAGGCTTTGGCCTGATCATCTCCCCATTTCCAGATCTGTGACTTTTTGGTAAGGTGCGTAACCGGCTGAGCTACCTTCGCAAACTCTGGTATAAACTTTCTAAACCAAGAGCAAGTTTGCAGGATGGTACAAAGTTGCTAGAGATTGGTCGGTTCTTTCATCTCTAGGACAGCACGAACCTTATCTTTAACTGGAGATATACCATCGTTGGATATCACGTGGCCTAGGTATTTGAGCCGGTCCCTGGCGAACACGCACTTTTCGCGGTTGGCTCTTAACTTGAACATCCGAAGACGCTCAAATACCGTACGTAAATCAGACAAATGGAACTCAAGATCCTCTAAAATTACCAAAAGGTCATCAAGATAACCTAGAATATGCCTACCACAAAGTGAAGGTCCCGACCGGAAGCGATCGATAAGTCGCTGAAACGTTGCCGGAGCACCCTTGAGTCCGAAAGGCATGCACGTGAAGCGGTAGGTCCCAAAAGGTGTTACAAAGGCCGTTTTATCCTTATCCGCAGTACCGACCCAAATTTTGTCATTTTGAACGCCATCCAATCGCGTTCGAGCTAGCGCGTCACCCGATGGTATGTAGGTGAGGTAAACGCTGCCAGGGGCGGCGGCCGTGTGCCACTGGCAGTCGTTTGACGCGTGGGCGAACGGACAGTAGCATGGAAGAGTAGTTGGAGAGCAGCGGTGCGGGCAATTCGCGTACTTTGGAGACCGCTGCATATATTCAGCGCGACCAGTTTTTTGGTTTATGGTCTAGATTGAGTATTTGTGCGCGTTATTCCGCTACTGAATTGTTAGGTCGTGAAGACCGCCTCGGTTTTAGTTTGTCTAAGTTGTACGGTCGTGACAAGAGGCTTGTATGGAATTTCACTGACTAAAGTAACTTTGTTTGAAAGTAATTGCGCCAATTATATAGTGATTGCGTGTTGAAGTGCATTTTACAATATTTAACTTGCATGTGTGACGAGGAATCTTGCGCGCGCACCGACTACCGGTTGATTGTTTTGGGAAGTCATTGTTTAATTGTACCGTCGCGTTAAGAGCCTTTTGTGTGTTGACTCTGAAGTTCGTTTGCGTGTCAGCTAGGCTGATTTTGAATTTTTATCGCGGCGTAGTATTTAATATCGAATGAAGGAATTTAGTGTTGTTTGTAACGCTGAACTTTGTGACTCGTGAAGAGATCGCGTTAGTTCCCTATTTGTAATTTTGTGATAAATGCATCCGGAACCTTGAATATTGAACTTTGAACTGTTACTTGCGTCGGGTATCACGTGTTTCATTTTACGATGAACGTTGAATTAGTTGAGTTGAAGTTAGTTAAATGTACAATAAGTGTTATGGCCTACAGCTGCCCCTACAAATGTCTAATTTCCCGGGGCCTATGAACAGAAGATTCAACGAGCAGCCGCAAGTGGCTATATGGAAGGTTGTCCTATAATACTAAACTATATGGGAGAATGCTAGAAAAATATAGTACGTACTTGTTTCCGACTCTAAGATCGCCCCAAGGCTCGGTCAGGACGTAAGTGAGTGTAAGGTGCATGGCAAGTAGTGTTTAGTGATGTGTATGTGTCTGAGACCTGGACCAGCTTAGGTATCTAGCAGCGGCCGAGTTCCAGGCTGCCCCACAATGCTGAATCGCTCCAGCAGGCTCCACCGCTGGACCATTTCTTTCTTCATTGTCACTAATTCAGTCTATTAGCTTCATTGTACATTTAACTAACTTAAACTCGCCTAATTCCACATTCATCGTAGAATCGAACACGTGATACCCGACACAGTACGGACAGTAGTTGAAAGTTCGACATTCAATGTCCCGGATTCACTTATCACAAAATTATAAATAGGGAACTCACGCAATCTCTTCATGAGTCACACGGTTCAGCGTTAAACAGAACTAAGTTCCTTCGGTCGACATAAACACACCACGCCGCGATAAGAATTCAAAATACGCCTCGTTGACACGTAAAACTAACAAACCAGCCAACACCCAAAAAGGGCACTTAACGCGACGGCACAATTATAATGATTTCCAGACAATTAACCGGGAGACGCTCTCGAACAAAGAATGCGCGGTTCGAATCCTAGACTGTATATCCACTCGGCGCGCGCGTACGAAATTCCGCATCACCCGAGCAAGTTAAATATTGCAAAATTCACATATCCACGTAGCGAAGTAACACGCACTAAATCTAACCATCTGGATCCTACCGGTCGCGTGAACTTCTGCCGCGATAACCTAGATACGTGGATTCACCGCATCGCGGCCAGCGGGCTACTACTTCTTCGTCCACGCGTCGAGCCACCGCAAGCCGCACACGGCTGCCCCACCTGGCAACGTTTACCTGATCTAGATACCATCGGGTGACGCGCCAGCTCGAACGCGATTGGAGGGCGTTCAAAATGACCAATTTTGAGCATAAACAATAAGGTTGATAGACTGAAATAGTGTCATGAAGAACGAAGTTGACCCTTGGTGACGCCTGCTGGAGTGGTGCAGCATTTTGGGGCAGCATAGGACCAGGCCGCTACCCAGTCACGCTCAGCTGGGCCAGCTCACATAAATAAACACTACCAACACACCAATTTACATGCACTATACACCTACCTACGGCCTGACTGATCCTTGGTGCGGTCTTAGCTTTGGATACAGGTACGTACTATTTAATTACCTAGCATTCTCCCTATTGTATAGGTCCATATGGCCATTTGGGCGCGAACCCTCGGCTGCCCGTCGAGGAGGCTACTATGGGCCCTAGTCAAGGCGACCTATGCAGGGGCAGCTGGGGGCCGTAACAGACCTGCCAGTACCCACTACAGAGGTCTAGCGAGCTCATCACACAGCCCTTCTTGGTCGACTGTAACAGCTAATCGATACGCGGCCTGCCGCCATATATCCATATGGGGTATGCGTCCGTCTTGGTAACCGGATTCAGCTTGTGATAGTCTACACAAAACCTATATGTGCCATTAGACTTCAGAACCGGGACGCATGGTGCGGCCCAGGTGGATTCGCAGTCCTCAATCAGCCAGCATTTTGCCTAGCTCGGCGCGCATGATTTCCTTTTTCGCGGGCGTGACTCAATACGGAGGCACAGCAATCGGCGGGTGATCGCCGGTATCTATATGGTGTTCGGCGAATGGTGTCGGTCCTCCGACAACATCAAAAACGTCAAAATACTCACATAAAGATTTGCCAATCTAGACCTTTTCGACTCTGATAGCGCGGTAACCTCGTCCTCTCGCAACACGTTCAATGCAGCGGCGCATTCAACAGGGCCTCGACGAGTTTCCCATGACAAGACTGAAATGTCCGATGCTAATCAACTTTACGCCAATTCCATTTATCAAAATCAATAATTCTAGCCTTTGTTATAAAGTCAATGCCTAACAAAGTATCGTTATTAACGACATTAGGCAAAATTGAAGAATAGAATAGAAGCAAGTTGAAAGTTGACCTCCATGAGTAGCACCTCACTATTCCTTATACTCGTAGTACCTTCCGCAAGCTTTACTGACATCAGTTCGATACGAAAGTATAAACCGATACGCTTCATTAACGCATAAAGTGAACAACTCGCACCACTACGACGCGCGGCGATATCTAACAACGCAGTACCCGAGTATTCCCCTTTACTCACTCGTACGATAGGCCAACCTTGCTCCTTACAATCGGATTTCGGATTCAAGTCGCAATTACTAACAAAGACGGACGAAAATACATTTTCAAACTTAACATTATCATCAGAAGCTCTACTTTAAAAACAATTAGGGCAATTTGCTCTAATATGACCCTTCTCGCCACAATTATAACAAGCAATACCTTAATAAGAAGAATGAGATCTTTTACTTAACTTATCACAGGAGTCACGGACGTGTTCTTGCGTTTTGCAGTAAACATAGGATAGATTTCTCTCACCATCACTATTTTTGTTCACACACTGATCACTACGCGGCACAGGCGCTCGGTCACGTGATGATTGCGAAGCGGAGTCGGGGGCGCGCTGTTGCGGCGCGGTCGAACACGAACCCGAAGTAATATGCTGAGGTCCCTCGCCATGCCTGTGGCTGGGTCTGCCTGGGTCACTCAGCGGTGACGCCGACGGTTATGGTGGTGCAGGCGGCGGCAGTGCAGCGTTCTCCGACAGCAACTCTTCTATAGCTCGAGATCTTTCAATGAGAGATTCAATGTCGATCACGGTATCTCTCGACAACGGTTGTCGGATTCTCTTATGTAGAAGCCCATAAATCTTATCGAATCTCGCTTCCTCTGATAACTCGTGGGAAAGTTTCGCCAAATAAGCTCTTATCTTTACGACGAAAATTTCGGCACGCTCCGATCCTTGCTCGGCGGCAAAAACGTCTCCGTACAACTTATATGCAGATAGTGGAACTCCGTATATCGAGCGCAAGCGTTTCACAGCATCCGATCACGAGTGTACTTCGTTTCGGATTCCCCGCCATCACACTGCAGCATCTCCTTGAAGTAACACAGGGATACCGCGAAGTGCCATCTCATCACTAACTGATGCACAACCTTTATACATTTTCACCGCGTCAATGAATGCTTCCACTGCTTCCGGGTGTTGAGACGAACCGTTGAACCGTGAAGTGCATTTTACGAATGTCCCTGAGATAGATGACGACCGCTTATTTGGTGACGTGACAGTGGCGACGCAGGCAGCGCTCGAATTGACATTCGGTGGCGCCCCTAAGTGCGATGTCAGAAGAGACTTTAACAGTGGTAGAGCCACGCGGCAGCTTTTGCTGTCGCACGGATGGGCCAGCTCGATCCGGAGTGGTACCACGACCTCACAGAAAATCAGCGTGAAGTAGAGGTTTACCTCTGCGTTTCGCTTGGTGAGTGCAGGTGGCCGGAGGCCTTTTTTACTGGAAATGAGGCATTCCATCTTAGTCCTCACGGGTGACAACGCATCTACATTTTGATTTGTAATAGAGGATAGATGTAGATGTCTATGGACCGCAGCAACCACTTACCATCAGGTGGATTGTGTGCTCGTTTGTCACCCATATCGTATAAAAAAATAAAAAAGAGACTGGACGAGCTTCTAATTTGCCTCGGCTTGCGCCGCAGAGAAGGCGGCCAGAAGCGACGACAGCTGGTTCTCGGACATAAGCACAGGTGCTTCAGGTGTCGGGTTTACAGGTGCCACATGTGTCGGATTCACCGGTTCCTCATCTGAACTAGAGTCATTATTACGTGATTTTCGCGGCGGCATTATGACTAAGTCCTTGTAGTTCTCGTCTCAATATCAAGTGAAAAACGCGTAGGTACACAACTCGCGTACTTACTTGTGCACTAGAAACTTCGAGAGCCACCGTATGTTCCTTCGTGGCCCGCCATTGGGAGCCAATATAACATTAACTGGCCACGGTTGATAAACGAAACGTTACAAATATTCCGAATGCACAGCTTATTCACCAAAATAATTACAGTATAGGCTCTATTGACAAGTAAGTACATGAACAGCGTCTCGCGAAAACGCAGCGCGGGCGCGGGAGTAATCAATAATACACATATAACTCGGAGCTAGTCGGCTAGCGTACTGCTTGTATCGGCAGTCAAAGGTCTGGCGGAGTGGCGTGATCCCGTGGCGCAGGTGGGGTATCGTACGAGAGGGGGTAGCTAGAGATCGGGTGACATAGGGAAGTATCGGCGCGCTACAATATGATAAAAAAATCATGCCTATCTTTACAGATATAACTGTTATGTATCTGTGAATTAACCATCTAAATACAGTGATATAAAATATTTCAATACTCATTTGAGCGGTTTAAGGTTAAACATGCGGGTCGGCTGCTTACCAGTGCTAATGCTGCTTACCGGCCTGTGAGATAATTAATGAAAATTTAGAAAACTTATATCCCCCTTATACGTAACAATTCGTTAAGCTGTACTTATGTGGTATAAGGACATATTAACGAATAGTTATAATAAATTACTTATGGAATATTTAGCATAAGTTACTACAAACACTATTATAAAATAACAGATAATTATTTTTGTTTTAGTGACAGCAACGGGAATAGATTTAAGAGCCGACAAAACACTTAACGCAAAGACTGTGACCGTAACAGATAGAGCTATCAGAGGTGTGGCTTACAGAGTTAAAAGAGTATGGTATTACAAAGATTTTATTTGGAATATGAGCAGTACAAAAAAGCAACTAGATAAGGACATCGAGTTCTTACACAGTGTGTCTAACATGGTACATTATAAATTCGTATTTTTATTTAGTTTTGTTTTTCATTTTTCTTCATCTTAGTCCTTAGCGGTGGCAATACATTCGTAGTCTTCTTTATTTGATTTTTGTATTATGGTGGAGAGTTAGCTCGTGAATCATGCAATGCCAATATAGTAATGATGAAATAAAAAAACGACTTCAAAGACACTGGCGTCGGTGTTAAGACGTAGTCTACCGAAAACGCCCTCGACTTGATAAGCATGGAAACTATTTCATTAATATTTTAATTTTAAAATCAAATTTTACTTCCTTTTAAGGCTTTTTCACCTTTTGAATATATTCACAAACATCACTAGCTCAAGGTATCAATTAGAATGTCATCTAATATTTTTACATATATTTTTTTAAATATATAGGGAGCCACTGCTGAAGTATAAGTTATTCAATAAAATAAGAATTATCAAAATTGAATAAGCCGTTTTTGAGATATCAATGAACACATCTTTAAAAAAAATACCGTACACGAATACCGTGTAGCGGCGGTGTAAAAATATCTATTACCCAATATATTTACATGAATGTCGTAAAAGGCGACTAAGCATAAGTGAGACAGGAGATGGTCAGCAGCATCTTTCTAATAACAGGAAAACTTTATTAAAAATAAGGTTGCCAATCCGTTCGCCAATCTTGGGAACTATGGCAAACATCCCCCTATGAGGAAGGACACAAAAATGGACTCCAGTCTCCGACGGACCGGCTATTTCTTACTACGGTAGTGATCACAGTAATGACGTGGAAGTGCAGGTATTTTGATATGAAATAGCCAGTTTTGCTGGACGGACATTTTATAGGTAGAGACCTATTATTGGTAAAGGTTCCTCCGGATTGGTAGTATCAATGAGCGTTCCTCAGGGCTCGATTCTTGGCCCATTCCTGTTTTTAATCTATATTAATGACGTACCTTATCTTGTAGGGGACTATCACGATATAGTATTATTTGCTGACGATACGTCTTTTATTTTAAAACTCAAACGGCAGTTAATTAATTATGACGATGTAAATAATGCTCCATCGAAATTAGTACATTGGTTTATCGCCAACAATTTGCTCTTAAGGATTTAACTAGCCTGAATGACCTTGACGAAACGGCGATCGCAGAGATTTTATCCGACGTGACGACTAGCTACTACATTCTGTATTACTTATAAAAGTGCAAAGATTAATAGACTGCAGAGATGACAATTATATAAGTGACATACTGCCTGTTATGCTTGCGCATCACTGAGAATTTTGTCGCGGTTACGCATCTTCAATTACATTGCACGGTGTGGTGTTGTAGTTTTGTCCGGTAGGCGTCACGAGGTATCAAGTGTTCAAGTTTCAAGTACGTAAGAGTTTTTTTATTATATATGTTAAATCGTATTTATTTGTGTCGTATTAGTAGATCTGGGTCAAAGCGTTCGCTGTAAATTTTTCCCGGGTTTGATCCCCGACAGCAAGAATGAAATTTGTAATTGCAATTTTCGTCAACACGCATTGGGTAAGCACGGCGGGCATTTCCTTACCCTAAAACTCTCTCAGAAATAAAAAAGAGTCCTGTGCCCAGTAGAGGGACTTGTATAGCCTATTACTTTACTTTGTAGCAATATTTATATTCGTTTCAGATATAGAAGGGTACCTTATGATGACAAAAATATCATGTGAAGGCGACGAAAACGTAAAACATCTTTGTACCTAGATAAAACGTTCGAAAGATTGTCAGTCATGTCATACGCCACATTTTCTATAGAGCGTAGAACATTGCAGATAGGGCAAAATAAAAAATAATCCAAAATATTATGGGAACTATTTATTAATAATATATACATTTATAGGTATTTATAATAAAAATAATGAACAAGCTGCAAGGTTCAACTAATAATGATTTTCGTAAATACAATCGTAAAATTCCTGTTTTCATTTTTACCAATGGTTAACTTCATGAAACGTAGTCAAGATCACTTCATATAAAATATATTTAATTAAGATTGACACGTGACCTATTTGGCCTTCTACTTACAACTCGGCGGAAATTTGAAAAGAAGATTTTGTTTTTTCACACAAGTATTGTTTACAACTGGCGTGGTTTCGAAAAGCGTGATTAAGTGTCAGCGGTATATAATTAATTAAATGCAGAACTTTTTTGAAATTTATTTTTTTGTTTATTTTTAAAAACTGACGTTTCACTATTTTATTATTTGTTTTTTTTTTGTAACGCGTAAGGATAAGTTAGAATAAGTTAGATTAACTTGAATAAGTTTGTGATTGTTTTAATTTTATCACAAAACTTCCGCAATAAATTATTACCTTTTCTACAGTGATTCTCTCCTCTTAGTTTCGGCGTGACTGTAGGATGTTACACTGAGTCACCGTCAGTTACTAAGCGGCCATAAATCATTATATGTATGTATAGACATGCATTTTTGATTTTAATATTTATGTTTTTTTGAATTTTGATTGATTTTGTCAAACCTGATAAAATTATTTTTTTCCATACCCATTGATGGGCCGAGTATAATGCCAGTTATGCTCTTTGGCTGAAGTTATTTTTTATTTTATGCTCAATTGTAGACAAAACAATATTGATTGCGCATTTCTAAAACAAAATTTTACCTCTTCTCCTTCTGATAATAGCTCCTGCACCTAACACGGCGGAATAGTTATTATTATCTATAAGACCATTTGCAGAAACAGTTTTTGTTAACAGTTATGAGTGTAACATTTTTATCAGCTGCTTTGTTTATAGTGCCTTGAGCAACACTTTGCCGGTTTCTGTACAGAAAATGATGCTGGCTTTGCAAATATGGATGGCCGCTACCATTGAATATAATATACCCGCTATGTTACACTTATTTACATAGAAACTTTAATTATCATTTGCATAAAATTCTAAATAGCACTTTTTACACAAGAAAGTAATTATCAATCAGTAATAAGTAATCAGTCCATCTTGTTTTTCACTAATTAAGTGAAAAGTAAAACAAACCAATAGGTCCGTGATTTAAAATTTCTTGCAACTTTTTATAGAAAAGCATGACCTTATCATAATATAATAGTCAATCATTTAGCCATGTGATAAAACTTTTAAGTTTGCCAGTCAAACATTAATGATGATATTCGGGTCATTATACTGGAAATAGTCTTTTAAATATTTTGTAGTACAATTGATAATCTCCAGTATGATTGACCGTGTAGATGACTTTTATAAGTATACGTTATTTTTGATGAACATTATTATTGCAGATAAAAGCCCTTTCACATTTATTTTAGTCTCGAATTAAATTAATCAAAATGAAAATAAGAACTTTGGCTCTTTATAACTGATCTTTAAATGTAAAACACTGACTTGAAGTTATATAATTATCAGCATTTTTTTTATTCATTGAACTTTTTTAAGATTGTTTTGAAACTCTACTGGTAAAAAAAAAAACAAATATATATATTATAGTTCTTGATGAAAATAAAGTATGCGCGTTACATCGCATCCCATCAAGAATTTCTAATGTAATTCTTGGTGTAAAGCTAAGACGTGATAATAACTGTAAACAATAGAATAACAAAATAATGAAAACATTTGTAAATACTTGCTTTATAACCTCAAATAATATTTATTATTATTTGACCGTAATAAAATAAAACAAGGTAGTCTTTGGCATGAAAGTAAAAATAAATATTTTCAATTATTTTTGCAATATCTAGTAGCCTGATCAGCGCGCGATTCTGATCCATCTAAAGATGCTACATTTCAGCAAGCACTGTCAAATTCAATAGGAGTGACAGAAATACGGTTCTTGATATAGAAGGGTAAATAAACTATTTAACCTATAAAGTAAAATCACTTTATTAAAAATCAAAATAGCCCAATAGCTTTATTAACATGAGACAGATAATTGTACGAGTGCTTAAAATACTTAACATTATTTTACTGAAATCCCTGAAAGTTTTTATTTAATAGAATAAGAATGACAAACAAGCACACAGTCCACCTGATGGTAAGATGTTACTGCGTGCGTGCATGCGTCCGTGCGTGCGTGCGTGCATGCTGCGTGCGTACGTGCGTGAGTGCGTGCGTACGTTCGTGCGTGCGTGCATGCGTGCGTGGGTGGGTGCGTGCGTACGTGCATGCGTGCGTGCGTGCGTGCGTGCGTGCGTGCGCGCGTGCGTGCGTGCGTACGTTCGTGCGTGTGTGCGTGCGTTTTGCGTGCGTGCGTGCGTGAGTCCGTGCGTGCGTGTGTACGTGCGTGCGTGCGTGCGTGCGTGCGTGCGTGCGTGCGTGCGTGCGTGCGTGTGTGTGTGTGTGTGTGTGTATGTGTGTGTGTGTGTGTACGTGTGAAAAAAAGCGTATGAGAATACGTGAAGAGGAATAAAGGTTGAGTACTACTTCGTTTACCTGTACGAGGTTGCCACTCGAGAACCTTTCTTTCTATTTTTTATCTGTTTTCCAAGTTATATAGCCAGCCCATTGGCATTTCACTATAATACTCCGTTGGGCTATGTCAGTTACTCTGGTTCTACTGCGAATATTTTCATTTCTAACTTTATCACGTAGAGAAACCCCTCTCCAATTTAAAATTTTTACATTTTTTAGATGATAGTTTGTCTAACATAAAAAAAAAACCATAAACCCAAGAATGTCTTTATATAGTTATTTATACTTAGGGAAGCACCATTTTTTTATTTATTTAAATTGTTTGATTTAATTGGATAACACTGTACCTAAATGTAAGTATCTGTATCTATATTTCCCTCCCCAATAATATTTTATAAACTCATACTCATAAAAACAGCGTTTTATTGTAATACATAATTATGAAATTCAGGATCAACTAATTAATAAAAATATGCAAAAATAAAATTACATAGGTATTTAATACCGAAATCTAAGTAACGAGATCATGTTCGTCGTTCCACATCTAAATTATATAAAAATACATTTTCAATTTCACTATACAACGTCGCGAAAATTTCTTCTTCTTTGGGCACTTTAAAAATTAATTTATTTAGAAAATAATATTTACAGTTACCAGTGTACAGATATTAACTAAATTAAGTATTTCTAGTCATAAAAATATTTATAATTGAGTATTAACTTTTAAAAAACTAATATATTTGAATACTATATATATTTGAACGAAGTCGCTCCAACACCGACGCTCAGTCCACCCTCGACGATGTCTGAAAACGGACTGTGACACGACTACCAGACTGCCCTGGACCTCCTCGTCGGAAAGTACGACAACGTCCGGCGTAAATATATTCAAACTCAGGGAAAAAATATATATTCTCTTATAAAACGGGGAATAAAAATAAAACTCTCAATTAAAAATATTAATAATTTTAATACCTTTTTTTTAGTGTAAGAACTATTTAAAAAGCTTGTGCCGTTTTGGAGAAATTTTGCAAAATATGACAAAGATAGGTACTCTTTGGGATTTTTTTTCTAATAAGGGGTTGACAAAAATACAATTTTGTTAAATTAAAAACATTTAACAAATCCTCTTCTAGTACCCTGTATTTTTTCTTTGTGGATTAAATGAACAGTTATTGAGATTTTTTTACTTAAATATCCAAGATTTAGGCATTTCAACCACTGTTAAGGCCTTAAACGGCAATAAGACAAAATGTATTAAATTTACAATACCTAATGTAAAACATTCGAATACCAATGTGCACCTAAATGAGGAGGAGTTGAGTCTTGTGGATACCACTGTTTTTCCCTATATATCTTAATTAACAAGCAGACTTAGTTCTGCAGCATATGCTTTAAGAAAGATTAGAAGTCTCACAGATGGTGAGACAGCTAGATTAGTGTATTTTAGTTACTTTCATAGCGTAATGTCTTACGGAATTTTGCTAGGGGGTATAGCGACTGATATTGAAGCTATATTTGTTTTGCAAAAGAGAGCCGTAGGGGCGATTTATAACCTAAATTGTAAAGAGTCCCTCAGAAAAAAATTTAAAATAATAAACATATTAACTTTGGCATCGCAATATATTTATGAAAATGTAATGTATGTACATAAAAAACATAAATAGCTTTAATAAGAATAAGGATGTTCATACTTTAAACACTAGGAACTATGTAATGCTAGTTACTAGACTCCACAGAATCAGTAATTCATTTATGGGGCAATGTATAAGATTTTACAACAAAACCCCAGAACATATTCAAAGTTTGTCAATAAACAAGTTTAAAAGTTTTATTAAAGAAAAACTGTACAAAAAAGGGTAATTAGATATCAAGGTGTTTAGGCCAAATCTTACATTTAAAACTTGCATTCAAAACGCTCGTCTCGGCGTGTTTATCCGACGGTACCAGTCACCGCCTGACGCGCAACCGGGCGGCCGGTGTCATATAGTCTGCAAATTACGCTCGAATTGTTAGGCCGCGTGACGACCGCCTCTTGTTGCGTTGTCTTTTTTGTGCGTTTACGTGACAACAAGGCTCTTCTTGAGTTTTTGATTGATTAACTTAACTTCGATTGCCATTAATTGCGTTGACGAGTTGCTTGTGTGGCATTTTAATATCGTACGAAGACATTTTTCCTTTGTCGGTAGAACGCTAAAAATTTGTGACCCGAGAGGAGATCGCGTTCGTCTTCGATTATATTATGTGTTATTGAATTGTTATTGTGTATATTAATTTTGTGCTAAGTGACGTTAGACTGGAGCTTACATAAAGGTGAACGTCCTACCAAGTGATCGCACATCTTTGGGAGCAGAGCAGCGCATGTGGGTCTGCTGTCTGATTACATCGGTGACGTCAGGTTACATTTACACACTTTCGCATACCACTTACATACCACCAACTTAACCCCTGACTGTACCGTGTGGTCGACCCTACCACCGGAATTCGGTAAGTTTGTGTTTGCTTATCAGCCGTTACATAATAATTATCCATAGACCATTTGGGCCCGAACCCTCTGGTTGCTCGTCGAGTGGACAACTCATGGACCCTAGTCCAGTCGACTTCTGTCGGGGCAACTGAGGGCCGTAACAATTTTTGTAGCAGAGCGTGGTTACGCACGGCCGTAATATAAATTTTTTTATTTCTTTTTTTTGTTTTTTTTTTTTTTGTTTTATTAACGGATCGGTGGTTAGAACCACGCCCGTTAGCCTGCGCAAGCAGGAGTGTAGTTTAGGGTTAGGTACCTACGCGTCAGGTATTTCGGGTAGGTAGATTAATTATCGTTATCATATAATCGTATAATTATCGTTATCGTATAATTATGGTAGATTAAATTGCCGAAACGTCGGTCGCCTGAGTTGCACGTGTTGTTTGCAGTCCTGCTAGTGGATACGGGGAGTTAAGCTAGGTTGTACCAGTTCTAGCAAAAAAAAGTTATGGTACTTGGTTAAGTGATAGTAGGTAAACTTTTGAAAATGTTGAAAATCTACTACTGATGAACTAATCGGGTACTGTAATCACACATTTCTAAAATTTATAGTGTTTTTTTTTTAATGTTATCCTAAATACCTATGCTATTATATGCAGTCATATATTCAATAATTATTATTGTGAGTTTAGTACAAAAAAATAAAGTTTAATTAAGTTACGGTTAAAAACATTTTAAAATGAAACATTTAGTTTAGAGTTTAGTTTTTTTTTTTAAAAACGGTTAACCCCACACTAAGATTTTCTCCTGTGTCGTGGAGGCAGTTTACAAACATAAATTGCACAAGGACAAACATTCAGACCTGTGACAATTATTTGTAGGCCATACAAATACTTGTTCCGTGCGGGATTCGAACCCGCGGCCCCCAGCGCAACAACTTATTGCTAAGCCACTGCGCCACGGACATTGATGAACATTGACGCCTTGTCTTAAAAAAGTGTACTAAAATTTCAAAATGGTGCAACACTTGCTACTTATCTTTCCATAAAAAAATCATGAAAAGGAAAGCGTTTCTGTAGCCTTATAAATACCCGGTGAAGTTTGTATACAATGGAGTTATATTTGATGCAAATCCGGCATAACGCGATCGGTTAAAATCATTTTTAATTACCTCGAGATTTTGTGACTATTTCAGATCGCAAAGCAACGGCAGAAGTCGTATAGTTCAACTCTGTTTAAGACCTCAGGTTTGTCAAACACCAAAAATTATATTTTATTTAGCTTTTTTAATTTTATTTCAATATATTTTTCTCTTGCAGGTAAAAATCTTAAATCATTTAGTGATGTGTTTTACGGTCTGGAAGGTTCGGATGGCGAAAGTGCTTTCTCAAATAAGGACGTAGAAGATCACGTTAATACCTTGATTGTGGCTGGTTATGACACAATTGCAACAAGTCTTGTAATTACTCTTCTATTAATCGGCTCGTATAAGGAAGTTCAAGATAAAATCTACAATGAGTAAGTATAAGATAATGTCACACAAATATTAAAGTTTAGTTCGTTTCATGACAAATTCACATTATATCACATAATAACTATACTCATTACCTCTCTAGTCTCTATTCCCTTCTCAAACTCTAGATTCTTCTTTTTTTAATCAGTTTTTTTTTAATTTGAAATATCACTACTAAAAAGGATCAACCGCTTCATAAACATGCAAATTAAATAGCATTTGTAACGCCAGCCTTATCTCACCGCCTTCTTATACCGCAGTCCATTGTGTAAGGGTTGCTAAGTGCGTTACCCCATCTAACTACATGTGAGGAAAGGCTTTAGTAGTTTACCTTAACCCACATACATACCCATTGGCAAATTTTTACACAAGACTGAAGAGTTTAGTCCATTAATTTTTCTTGCATATGTAGACCATGAGAAAGCATTTAATTTCGTCGAAAATTTGGCGGTGCTACATTATTATTAGCGATGCCACTTTGTACTAAGCTGAAATGTTTGTAAAGTAGGGCTACGGTGGCTATCTAATAATGTCTATATTGAAAAATCAGCTCTACACTACGCTTAGTTACGTGTACCTCTTATCTCTGGCACCGATGCAATTTTTTATTAATGTCACTTCTCCACCTAATTTCCAGATTTTATTAATAATAATCGTTTATTCCGGACCATAATTCGTAATAGTAAAGAAATTTATAAACTATGCTAGTTAGAACAATAACTACGAGTAATTATAATTAAATTAATTCATATACCTCTATAATTAATAATCAGGCATAACTTTGCGGAAAACCATTATATTAAAGTTGTGTTTTTTTTTTACTTTGTCTATATCCACTCAATAAAATAAAATGATGTATCTTACCTATTTTAACACCACTACTCCCACCAGCACTACACCAGCAAAGACACACCACCGACGATTAAAGAAAATTTTTGTTACTCTCATATACCTGCCACTTCCCACTGTCCCAGACCCGCAGCAGTGCATGATGCAAATTGAGATCCAATGCTGCTGGAACGGGCAGTTTGGTTTCTCCACAATAACTCTCAGAATGCTTTTGGTGCTCCCGCGAAGCATGTGTATCAGGAATGCTGTTTCTTTCACAGAACAGCTTGAAAGCTGTCCGTTTTCACTTCATCAAACAAGTCTGCTGCACCACGAAATAGATGAAGCCTCAACAGTACCCTAAATGCATTATTATATTGCATACGAAGAACATTGTAGGCCTGCTGCGTATGTCTAACACGCAGGCTGCACGTGTAGAATGACTGGCAAAACGCCTTGAAAAGACTTCACTTCTCTCGCATAACGTGCAAACCTACGGGCCTACATGTTGCACCGAACCAATAACGCTCTTCACTCCCTCTCTATACGAGAGTGACACTGAATGTTCTTAGAAAATCAAAAACTGAACAAAATAGCAAGTTGAATTAACTAACTTTTTACGGATTTTATCGCGTTTAATTTAACTTTTTAATTCCCGACGTTTCGTGGACGTGATTACGGTGGGGACTGAGGTGTTTGACATCCCGATATCACCCGGCTACCGTCAGTTTCTTGAATATTAATTTTGGTCCGATCTACGCAGAATAAACTTACAGTATCTTGAAATCTTACAGTGGTATGCTTGGGTTTGTATTTAATTTTATTTATTATACGATCCCAAGCAGATGGCAGCACACATCCTTCTTCTCTATTGAAATTAGGATGTTTTTTTTTTATTTCAATAGCCTCGTGAATCATCCTTGGTAGGAATCGGTGTTCTTTTGCGAGGATTTGTGGTTTATCAAATCTAATGTAATGGTGGGGACGATCTAGACTTAAAGAGCCGACGTTCTGGGAAGTCTGCAGTGTGGAAACATGTTCTAGATCGTCCCCGCCATTACATTAGATTTGATAAACCACAAATACTCGCAAAAGAACACCGATTCCTACCAAAGATGATTCGCGAGACTATTGAAATTAAAAAAACATCCTAATTTCAATAGAGAAAATGGATGGGTGCTGCCATCTGCTTGGGATCATATAATTAATAAAATTAAATCCAAACCCAAGCATACCACTGTAAGCTCATTCTGCGTAGATCGGACCAAAAATTAATATTTCTAAAAACTGATGGTAGCCGGGCTAACTATGACATCGGGATGTCAAACACCTCAGTCCCCCCCCCCCCGTGACCACGGGTGCTGTAAAGCACCTGAAACGTCGGGAATGAATAAGTTAAATTAAACGCGATAAAATCTGTAAAAAAAATAGTTTCATTCAATGTGTAGTCTTCGCGTAAATATAAGAAATCAAAAAAGTTATTAGTTTTATTATATATTTTTAAAATAGTGCAGTGAAGAAAAATTGAGTCAAAGTCTTTTAGGTGTAGATTTTGAGAACTTGTTTAATTTAGATGATCCAAATTCTGCAATGGAATATTTTATAATGCTATACGTAACTCAATTTCCTATGCCACTATAATTTATATCCCATCTAGAAGGCGTAGAATTATTAAACCATGGATGACCCCAGGACTCCTAAAGTGTCTTAGAAATAGGGACAACTTACACAACAAACTGAAGAAGTCACCCGATAATGTGGTTCTCAAAGTCATCTACATGGGCTACAAAAATTATTGCAATGCTTTGCTAGTAAATTTGCTGAGGCTGGAAAAGACTCAAAACGTATTTGGGATACAATAAAAGACGTCACCAATAGTAGCTCTAGAACAACACCAGCTCACGAATTATTACAGTTGTGTCCATCTCCAAGTGAGTCGCCGATAAAGTTAACTCCTTCTTTATTAGTGCTGGCAAGCTTCTTGCTGAAAAATTTGACCAGAGGACAGCTATCACAATTCATGCACCTTTTGCGGATTCAAGTCCTAATTTAGTAGATAACTCTTTCGTTCTTTTAAATACAGACGAACAAGAAGTTGAAAGGATTATAATTGTTTTAAAATCAGATAAACCTGTTGGGTGGGATGGCATCTCCACTGGTTTACTGAAAAAGTACAAAAGTATCCTTGTGCGTCCTCTGACCTTTATTATCAACTTGTTTTTGACAGCGGGTGTTTTCCCGCGGGTGCTGAAAAGAGCTGTGGTACATCCAATTTATAAAAATGGCGACCGAAGCCTACCCAATAACTATCGTCCTATATCAATTCTGCCGTCGATATCCAAGGTTTTTGAAAAAGTCATAAATTCTAGACTGGTGAACTACCTTGAGCAAAAGAATTTGCTGACGACACAGCTCTCCTTTTTTCTGAAAACACCTGGGAGGATGTTTTCCGGAAATCTCAGGCTGGTTTTAATATTGCATGTGCTTGGCTTAGTGCGAACTTACTAACTCTCAATTGTAAGAAAACTAAGTGTATGCCTTTTGCTATCCGTACCTCATTTTTACTTGGAAACATACACAAAATCATTGCTCACTGTTGTAGTAACCCTAACACTTTCCAATGTTCATGTCCCGTTTTGGAGAAGACTAACAGTATCAAATATCTTGGTATATTATTTGACAACACCTTGACATTCCACTTTTATATTAAAACACTATGTGGTAGAGTGCGTAAATTAATTTTTATATTTAAAAAACTGAGACATGTTGCTAATAGAGAAGTCCTAAAATTGACTTATTATGCCTTGTGACAATCTTTATTGACATACGGAATTGAAGTCTGGGGCGGAGCCACCAAAACACATGTTATTGAACTAGAACGTGCGCAAAGGTCACTTTTAAAAGTTATACATTTTAAACCTTACCTATATCCAACTTTAGATCTGTATAAAATTAGCGAAGTTCTTACAGTTCGACAGTTATTCGTACTCCATATAGCCTTAAGACAACACACAATTACAAAAGTAACTCAAAAAGAACATCGCCGTAATCATCTTGTAGCTCGATGCAACACGTCTTTTGTAAAGAAATTCTTCACGTTATTGGGACCATATTTGTATAATAAATTACACCAAAAATTGTCTATTTATGAAGTCAACAAATGGTCATGTAAAAATAGACTCGTAAGATCTTCAGCCTCTATCATATACAGACACTGAACAATTACTCCAAATAATATCATGAATACACAAATATGTTTGTACATATACACGGATATACTAACAGTCACACACTCACATACATACGAATATAATTACATAGTTTTTATTTTATTTATTTCTATATACTAAGTGCCTAGTAAATTCGGGGGGGGGGGGCTGGTGACCTGTAATACGGGTCTCTGAACCTACACGGGCACCAGTCCCCCACGAATGACATAATATTGTTAAATAGAGATGTAACCCTATTTAGAAGTTATAATAATAATATTATTATTATTATTATAACTTCTATTAGAACATTCTTCAAGCCGCCGAAGAAGATTAGTTCTTACCATCCGTGAAGTGCAATATTCCTCTACAAGATGCAGGAATGTACAAGCTTGATTGTGAATGTGGTCTCTGAAAGGGCAAACAAAACGATCAATAAAAACCCGCGTAAAAGAACACATAGCTGACGTGAAACACCAACGTTCCGGGAAGTCTGCAGTTTGTGATCATATCCTATACGGCCCCCGCCATTACATTAGATTTGATAAACCACAAATTCTCGCGAAAGAACATCGATTCCTGCCAAGGATGATACGTTTTGATTTTTTTTATAGGATAGGGTGACAAACGAGCACACAGTCCACCTGATAGTAAGTGGTTACTGTGACCCATAGACATCTACATCTATCCTCAATAAAGACTCAAGATGCAGATGCGTTGTAACCCGTGAGGACTAAGATGGAATGCCTCTTTGCCAGTAAAATGGGTCTCCGGTTCTCTACACTCACCATACGAAACACAGCAGCGTTAAGCTGCTATTTTACGCTGGTTATCTGTGATACGCTATTGAAATTAAAAAACATCCTAATTTCAATATAGAGGGAGGCTGGGTACTACCACCTGCTTGGGATCCTGTAATTCATAAAATTAAAACTAAACCCAAGCATACCACTGCAAGACTTCAAGACACAGTTAGTTCATTCTGCGTAGATCGGACCAAAATTATTAATTAAAATTGCTGAAAGTACTCCGGGTTAACTCTGACATCGGGACGTCAATCACCTCAGTCCCCCATAACCACGGTTGCTGGAAAGCAACTGAAACGTCTGGAATATAAAATAAGTTAATTAAACGCGATAAAATCCGTAAAAGTAGTTTCATTGAATGTGTAGTGTTCGCGTAAATATAAGAAATCATCACTATAATCTTATTTCAGGACAATGATGTATGCAAACTCTCTTCTAAAACTTATTCTTATGGTGTCATTGTACACTTTTGTAAATACAGTAGTTTTATGACTTCTGTCTATGAGAGTGATATAAAACTAAAAAAAAATAGCAGCCATAGTACAACTTAAATCTGTATAAGTGACAGAATATCGCCATTTTACATGCGCTTCGTTCTAATATTGTGCTAGTGCTAGTCAACAAAATTAATTTGTCATCAATATGTGGCAAAAAAGAAAAAGATTTCGTGCAGTAAAGAGACCATGTTAAATCTAAATTAAATTTATCGAACACTATTTACAAGACAAGATTTTTATGTTTTAACGTATATATCTTAAGAGAGTTTTTTATGTGGTTACTGTGACCCATAGACATCTACATCTATTCTCAATAAAGACTCAAGATGCAGATGTGTTGTCACCTGTGAGGACTAAGATGGAATGCCTCTTTACCAGTAAAAAGGTTCTCCGGTTCTCTTTACTCACCATACGAAACACAGCAGCGTTATGCTGCTATTTTCCGCTGGTTTTCTGTGAAAGCGTGGTCCTTCCCTTGTCGAGCCGACCCATTCGTGCTACAACTATACTACTAATAGCTGCAGCATGGATCTACCACGTAAAACTGTGAGTTATATGTTATGTTAAAAAAAAACTGCTATACAGTGTAAGTAATAAAAATATCTTATTATAGAGCTGATTAAAGACCAATAGCTGCATGATAAAATCCATAATACACATAGTACAGCTACTAAGACTGTAAGATTTTCGAAATAGCGTTTAGGCTGTTTAGCAAATTTTCGCCGTTTTAAGACCCATAAAAACAAAGTTAAAAATATAAATTTGGGAATTTTAGACATTAGTCTTAGCCTATACCATTATTTCAGTTTGACTAATAATCACTATGCCCCAATGTGCCACTATATCTTTTATTCTTTTTTTATTCTAACTTATACAACCGATACTTAGTTACCAAAATAGTTTCCTTGCACAACAAATAACAGCTGGAATACAGCAGTTATGCAGCTTCTTTTATGATTGTACAACTGCTGTACAGCGCTACTAACGCATAAAGCTGAATAATTTGTGCCTACTATTTACTTATAAGAACTGTATAAGCGCTTACACAGCTTTTGTACAGCCAGAAAATGCGGCTTCTGGTATAAAAAGGAACTTCAATACAGCTTGTATACAGCATGCATACTGTTGAATGGCTTCAAGTACCGGTTTTCCACTTGCCTTCAGGAGCTGCGCTGTAATTCCATCCTTCTGACTGACGTCCGGAATATCATCGAAATAGTGTCGGATAAGACTTGCTCTCGGATCATTACCCACACTTGCTTGTGACTCCGACGATGACGTGTACAGCTACCCATATAACCTGTCAATCTCACTCAAAATCTCAGGTATCCTGGAAACGACGCTGCCACATTCGGTCTTCGCAGCTTCGTCAGTTGACTCTTTCTGGCAGACAGATCTCTAGCTTGATTCCACTTGATTGCTTCTTCAATACGAGTTGTATTGAAGTTGCGTAAGTCCCGCCGTAGATTTGTCTATTCAATTTTCTGTTTAATTGTCTGTATGATGTCATATATGTAGAAGCCGAAGATTCATTTCACGTTTAACAGCCATGAGATTAAGAGTGCGATCGGAGAGTTTTTGGGTTCTTCTGTGACGTGTCTTACAGAACTTAGCTCCGACCGCATGGAAAGTTTCCACGAGCTTGTCATTCATATTGTTCACTGTATTGCAGTCTTCTAGGCACTAAAAACGATATTGTTACTGGAGCCGAAATGTTTCGGGATTTTGAAAAAGAGCACGAGCGATGATAAAACAAGTTGCCAGATTCTAGAACTACCGTGTCCACCTTCTCTCTCCGGATCTCAGATAATCTTATAACATTCCAGCCCAACTTGTCTATCTCTTCTTTCACCTCCAAAATCTTCTCGTCAGTCCTCAGGGTGCGTGAGTTAAATGTTGCCTGGTCGAGTCGTCTTAGGTGGCAACCGAACATCCATCGGAGATTTTAGCACATCCGTTATATTGGTCCCCACCGTAGCCAGGACTAGCGGGGCCACAGGGGACTGGTGGCCGCCTTTTTGTAACTCTCGACATAGTTGCCTCACTTAAAGATCGGGTTGGCAATCACAGTTTTTATTTTTATTTTTCTGTTATCAGAAAAATGCTGCTGTCCATCTTCTGTCTCAGTTTCCCACTGTCACCACTTACTACAGAATGGGAATATATAGAATATTGGATATTCTTACCCGCCACTAGTCTAGCTAGTTACTATTAAATGACTGTTGATGTTAAACGAGTATATTATATTTTCAATGTTTCTTATGATTTTATCTGCTTTTTTATATTTTAAAATTTAAAGACAAAAAAGTAACAAGAACTTTTTATTTGTATTAAGGCTTGAAGAAGTATTTGGCCAGTCCGACAGGGATATTGAGAAGCAAGACTTACCTCGTCTAACATACATGGAAGCAGTTATAAAGGAATCGTTGAGGTTGTATCCAATTGTTCCTGTTATAGCCCGACTTCTCGATAAGGACTTAAAAATAAGTAGGTCTTTATTTTATACATTATATTTATCTCTTACGGACATGCCCCTTAAACACAAAACATTTATGCAAAATAATTATTAAAGCAATTCTTAAAGGTTGTAGTAAAAATAATGTAAGTTTATTAACAGCTTACCAACTCCTCGCTGCACTTTGACCTCATTTAATTATTAGAGTATTTTGGAAACACGGAAAGCACTTTGGCTATCACTATCACATGCCCTCGAAATTTGTTGGTTTTTTAGTTATGCAGATTACATCGCGATGTGTTCCTTCACTACAGAGCATCTGATAAATCAACAGTCAAAACTGCTATATGAATTTTACTAGCAGGGATGAAGCTCGGTTTGCTCGATCTTAGTAAGAATTTTAAGGCAAGCGTCCAGTCGCTGAACTATCATAGTTCAATATAAACAAATATTTTATTCTGCGAACCTATCCTAATCATAATTAGGTGGGGATGATAATGAGAGTTAAATATATAAATCTCTTTTGTTTTCTTACAGAAAATTACACTTTATATTCTGGAAAAATTTGTTTCTTATCCATCTATGGTGCACACCGACATCCTGTGTGGGGTGAAGATGCGAATAATTTTAAGCCGGAGAGGTGGTTGAACCCCGAAACCTTACCAAAGAATTCAAATTCTTTTTTACCTTTTAGCCTGGGAAGAAGAAATTGTATAGGTATAAGTACTAAAATCCTAATATATTTTTTCTAATAAGTTTCTTAACTGTTACACGTTTACGTAAGCGTGTAATCAGTTAAGAAACTTTTTGAAGTAAATCTAATAACATTTTTTCAGGTAAAACTTACGCGGTAATGTGGTTGAAGACACTTATTTCACATTTTATTCGTAAATACCAAGTAACTGGCGATCACAAAAATTTATTGCTAAAGTACGATTTCCTGCTTAATCCATATTCGGGTTATTATATTGCTATTGAAAAAAGAAAGTGAACCTGAAATTCGAAACGAGTAATTTATGGTAATACGTTAGTTAAAATATAATATATTTCTCTACGCAAGTGCTTCTTTGCGTAATATCGTTATGTTAGTTAAATAGAAAGAATTCCTTGAAGTAACACGTAATCCAGAAATGTCTCATTCTTAAAATACGGCTATATATTTATGAGTTTTACAGTAATGTGTTTGCAATAACTAATAAAGAAATAACAATCCTATAGTTGTTTAATTTTGCTCACTTTCACTTTTGTATTTTGAATTATGCATTCCCGTGGGTGGACACATTATTATACCAAATTATTTCTTCTAATTTGGCAGTAGATGGTATATGTATATAATTTGAAAAATTTTCTAGCACGCATATTTTTCAATTATCACTGTGCGATGTACAATAACAATAACTGCAATGAAGTTTATTTTGTAACAAAATTTTATTTTATTTGGTTATATGGTTGTACCGAGCGCCAGACGCCGGAACCTACGCGTACGTTACTTACGACAGTAAATATTTCTGTGTTATTATGATATTGCGATTTACCTACCAAATAAGCGAGCTGGCAACGTCGCAGTATGCGAAAGCCACTTTTATTCCATTCATATATTATATATATACAACATATAACGTAATTAACGCACATTCTCAGACACCCCAATTAGTATATTATGTTATAATCATATTACATACACTAACTTTTTAGTTAAACATGTTTATGCATTAATTATTTATTAAATTAGCAATGCTAATAACAAAAGAATGATGTGGTCACAGTACAAATCCACGAACGTACAGAGTGGCACACGTAGGTTTAGGTCGTATGAGGATCTTGCTAGCCTAGTAGGTATTCCCTCGCGTTCGAGACGAGTTAACGCCGCGCCGCCGCCGCTTGACACAACTGTAGGTAAGTATTAGTGCACAAAGCCGACAATACACGATTGTTTACGTCAAAGAAATACCTACAGACATACATATAATCATAGCGTATAACTTAGGGAATATGTAAAAAATTATTTAAAAATATTTAAAGGACTGTTCTCCAAAGCTAACTCTTTGCATTTAAGCAACAAAATTAAAACGGCTTCTAATAAAATTAAAATGACGGAGTATAATTAATAGCGAAACTAGTAAGATCAACTCTCGCAATTCAAACTACCTGTTACATGTTAACAACAAATTAACTGTATCAGATCAGGACGTAGCAATGGTTTTTGAGAAATATTTTACTGATTTTCCGATATCAATCACTAAGTAACTGAATTCTTCTCCTGCGGTCGCCGAATCATTACTTAAACAAAATTTAAATGCGTGTAAAAAGAATTTTACATTTCATAAAGTATAATCAAAAGATTTTGTAAAATATTTTAAAACTATTGATGTTAATAAAACTGCGGATCTGTGGGGGATTCCCGTAAAAGTAATTGTGTCTATAATAGATACAATCGCGCCTCATTTAGTTATTATTTTTAATACTAGTATCGAATCTGGTAGGTTTCCTGATTTAATGAAGCATAGTAGTACCAATTTTAGACCTATTTCTATACCACCAACACTTAGTAAGATTTTTGAAAAAAATATTCTTGATCAAATGTTAAATTTCTTTAATATAAAAAATTTTCTTTATAAAAATCAATTTGGTTTCACAAGCGGTCGCTTGACGACTGATGCCGGTGTTGAGCTGATTAAATATATATTTAATGCATGGGAGAATTCACAGGATGCTTTGGGTATATTTTGTGAACTATCCGAGGTATTCGACTGTGTTCACCATGAAACATTAATCAGGAAACTTCAACAATACGGTGTAAGAAGTGATGCTCTTAAATTAATTATTTCATATTTAAGTAAAAGAACGCACAAAATTGTCATTAACAGTATGAGCTCTACCGGATCTATGGTACAAATGGGCGTGCCTCAAGGCTCAATTCTCAGCCCCTTTCTGTTTCTTGTATACATTAATGACTTACTTTACATAGTAGGAGATAACCATGATGTAGTATTATTTGCAGATGACACTTCTTTAATTTTCAAATTAAGTCGACAATTGCTAAAATATGACGAAGTAAATAATGCTATATCTAAATTAGTAAATTGGTTCAATGTTTATAATTTGCATTTAAATGGCACTATAACGAAATGTATGAAATTCATGACTCCAAATGTCAAACAATTAAATACTAATGTAATTTTAAATGGGTTGAAACTGACTCTTGTAGATACCACCATTTTTCTTGAAATCACACTAGACGCGAAGCTTCAATGGAGCCCCCATATATCAAAACTAGCAAGCAGACCTTATTCTGCAGCATATGCTGTAAAAAGATTAGAAGTCTTACCAGTGTGGAAACAGCTAGACTATTTTACTTTAGCTATTTCTATTGCATAATGTCGTATGGTATTTTGATATGGGGACACGCAGCTGACACTGAAATTATATTTGTTTTACAGAAGAAGGCCATAAGAGCAATGAATGATTTAAAGCCTAAAGCCTAAATTAATATATTAACTTTGGCCTATCTATTAAAGGTCTAATATCTACACAATATGTTACTAGTGCTGCCATCTGTCGTACATTGTCGGTAGACATGCTTATTTGTTCTATGGTTTTAAATAAAATTCAGTCTGTGCCACTCGTCAATGCGAATACGTAGTTTCATTTTAGGTTATGGGCCATACGCTCATAAAATCCCGGTATTGAGTCGTTTTAACAAGGATTTTGCAGTAAAGTAAGTGTAAGAAGAGAGTATTCAGTGCGATTTAGCTGTGAACTGACTGATCGTATTAATTATCGCAGTGTATAAGTGTAAAAACTGTTTGTCAAAATGGCTACCAACTACCTCATCAATGTGCCAAAACTAAAGGGACGCGATAATTATTCGGAGTGGTGTTTCGCTGCCTAAAATTTCTTAGTTCTCGAAGGCATGAAGCATTGTATCAAGCAAGAACCGGGAAAAGAAATAGCAAGAGCGGATGACGAAAAAACTAAAGCCAAATTGATTATGACCATCGACCCGTCGTTGTATGTCTACGTCAAAACCGTTAAATTGTTTTTTGATATTTTTTTTTATGTTAATTATTTGATTATAGTGGCTTTTCACGAAGAATAAGTCTATTGAGAAATTTGATTTCTATCCAGAGAGATAATTGCAGTTCGATGACGTCATATGTGACGCAGATTATCGATACAGCGCAGAAATTAAGTGGAACGGGATTTAAAATAAATGATCAATGGACAGGGTCATTGTTGTCGGCTGGATTGCCTGGTCGTTTTGCTCCAATGATCATGGCAATCGAACATTCGGGCATTTCCCTTACGGCAGACAATATCAAGACAAAATTATTAGACATGGAGTCGGTAGATTACAACGAGTGAGAGAGTGAAATGAACGGTGCTTTCGTCAGTCATTCAAATCATGTAACTAGTATACAGTTATCTGTGTCAAACACCAAGGCGGTGAAATGTTACCGGTGTAAACAAGTCGGCCATTACAAAAATCAGTGCACGGAAAACGAAAATAATTCAGCAAATCAGAAAAATAAAGAAAGAATGCAATCAAACGCATTTATTGCAGTATTCTTAAGTGCGAATTTCAACAAAAATGATAGGTATATTGACTCCGGGGCAAGTGTACACCTAACAGCAAACAAAAGTTGGGTTATGAATGCCAGATATGAACTAAATGAAGGAATTTTCATAGCTAATAGTCAGAAGATGACAGTATTATGTTCTGGCAATGTTAAAATAACGACTTCAACTGATGATTACGAGTACGAGACCATCTGTGACTACTAACCTACTATCAGTCAGTCAACTAATTAAAAAAAGGAAACAGCCTGTCTTTAATAGATAAAGGCTGTTGTGTTTACAATAAAAAGCAACAGTTAGTAGCTACAGCAGTATTGGTCAATGGGGTATACAAAGTAAACTTGGTATCCCAGGAGTATTTGGTTGCATCAGCTGTATCAGGAGTAACATGGCATCGCAGATTAGGACATGTCAACAAAGAATACTTAAATAAAATGAAAAATGTTGTCTAGGGAATGTCATTTGATGAAAAAGTAGAAATAAGAAAGGCTTCTTGTACAAAATGTTGTAAAGGTGAACAGTGTCGCTTAACATTTAAAGGAAGTGGTCAGAAAAGCAGTAACTTCCTAAATTTAGTGCACACACACAAATACCTTGCTCCTCCTATCGATGTAGTCTCCATAGGGCCACAAATGTCTGTGTGCACTAAATTCTTTCTTTCTTTTTTATAAAAAATGTCTGTGTGCACTGAATTCTTTCTTTCTTTTTTTATAAAAAAAGGAAAAGAATTTTGGGGTGAGGCCACCAATACGGCAATGTACCTGCAGAATCGAACTGTGGCTGCTGCGTTGGATAATAGAACGCCATATGAACTATGGACTGGCACAAAACCAGATATCAGTCATATTAGGATATTTGGTAGCACTGTAATGGTACTTGTTGCTAAATAAAAGCGTGAGAAATGGGATAAAAAATCTGTGAAATGTATTCTTACAGGATACTCAAATAACATAAAGGGATACAGAGTCTATAATCCAGAAACATGGACTGTGTTTACAAGTAGAGATGTGGTCATTATTGAGCCAGAAATCAATTCTGAGTGTGTGATTAAAGTGCAAGACCAGAATGTTGATTCAGTGGGGGATGAGGTTAAACCAGAACAACAAGACCAGAAGGTAACAAGTTTTGAATCAACATCTATTCTTGAAGATTACTCCAACAGTGAAAATAATTATTCCTATGATGATGACAATGATAAAACATATGTTCCAAGTGATTATGAAGACTCAGAGAGTACACTTAAGTGTGAAAATGAAGATTTCATGGACAGATCCAGATGAACACGGAAACCACCAGAGAGATATGGTATGTCGAATCTTTGTACAAGCGCTGAAACCTATGATGATGGGGCAGGTTTGACACTGCATGATGCTATAAACGAACCAGAAAAGAAACAGTGGATGTTGGCCATGC